GTACATACACTGTACATGAATTTCAGAAAACAAAATAAATTAAATACAAGCTTGTTTTATAAAGTAGTTTAGTTAAATACACTCCATGATACAGATTGATGTTATAGTGGCCTTATATATTGTTTTATAGTACAAAATCATAACACTTACAGCATTCATTATGAAAAAAGGCCCCCCTCTTTACTATGCAAAAGTATCCTCAAAAAGAATTCCATCTCAAAAAAAGAACATCAAAAGTTTGCAAAAAAAAAGAAGCCTAGGGCTTCAATTTGAGGTTTTACAGTACTATGCTAGTAAGCATGACTTGCTCATTCATTAAATACATTCATTGAACACATTCCATATAATAAGCTATCCACTACATAATCTTGCATAAATGAAAGAAATGAGGTCCATTACATAATGACAAGTTGTTACATGCACTAGAAGACTGATTGTATAGGACCTTGTATTTCAACCCTCTGACCAAACATCTTTGAGGTTAAGTGCTAGTTAATCCCAGTTAAGCCAACTGAGCTATGTGATGCTCTAAATCACTTATGAAAAAAATCACAAATACAAACATAACATATAAAGAGCAAACAGTGTATAGAAAAAAAGTTATGAATAAACATTTAAGAATAAAATTCATACATATTTAAATTAATTTGCATAAAACATACCTGGCCTTGTGATGATTGGCTAGCACAATTTTTCCTATAGCAGGCTAATATCTGTGCCGTTCGATTGACTAATCCATCTCGAATTGCTTTGGGATTGAAGGCCAATGATGCTGTCATTGCTATAAATAGAGAAAAAACAATATTGGCAAGATAGTAAGTAATGAAAAAAAAAAAAGAAACTCATAAGGCCAAATAGAAAAAATAACTAGTTTCTCATCCCCTCGCGAATTCATCTTCTCTGCCTCACCATCAGTAAAATTCCTCTCTTCATCTTTCATGGTTGGGCATACATATGGGATAAATTATGTCTGGTGCTTCTTTTAGTTACTTTCAATGTGTCTACTTGGTACAAGTGAGAAAATAGTAGCTGTTTCCCCTCAACCACCTCGGATTTGCCATCACAGGAGTTTAAAAAAAAGAAAGTGCCCTAATTCTTCTTTTTTCAAAATATTAGAACGGGAAACTACTTTGTTTTTTTACTTGGCCTAATCATAATTTTTTTTTACTCTATTAGAAATAGCGGTACAGTATGTTTTCTAATGACATTTCTACATGATGTTTCCATCCACAAAAAAAACGTGCCCTCATTCTCTTTTTCTAAAAATATTAGGAAGAAACTATTTTTTTTTTTACTTGGCCTAATCATAAAAGTGAACTTTTGAATATTAAATAAATTAACATACATGCAATACTTCCAATATAGTGATAAAAAGGAGAAATTTAGTAATAATTTAATTCAGAATTCAAGATAAACTATGACACTAAAAAGAATCTGCCATATCTTAACACTCACCATGTTTTGATAGGAAGTTAATGATGCTATCTGTTTCACAGCTGCGATACATATCTGCATTTGTGTACAACAGTTAAGTGATAAGTTGAGTAATCGAAGCCTACGCTGACCACTGACACTTGTGTATAGCACTGCAACCTAGATCAACATCAAAAATAAAAAGCAATAAAAAATTAATCAGATACACATTGGTGATTTGAATATCAGTGGCAGATCCAGGAAGGTGGGCAGATCCTGGAGGGGTGGGAAATTTGCAGTTGGATGCCTGGAAAATGGTTTCGATTTTTTAGGGGGTGGAGCAGATATAGAATTAACTAAGTTTGTATTCAGTACCTCTGCCAAGGAGGTTATGTATTTACCCTTGTCTGTCTTTTAGCAAGGTTACACAAAATATAATGAATGGATCATCATAAAATTGAGTGCAATGGTACATAATAATATGTGGGGAAAAAATGGAGTGACTGTTCTAGTTGTTCACAGCCCTTGACGAAACAATAAAATATATCCTCAACCAAGTTAAATGTTTCTTACCTGTACAAATGCTCCTGTCTCTTCAGACAACTTATCATCATGTTTGATCTCAAATGTAACTGCCTTGTCAAAATCAATCGATGCTAACTCAACGTCAACCGTGTTTGACATGAAGAAATTACCATGGAAATCTGTTGCGCGAATACCGGTGCTTGTTCGTACACGCATGACCGCATCAAATGCAATTGGTCGTTTTATGTTACGATTGAGGTCCTGCATGAAACGCTCGCCTTCTGTTGAAGCCTGAGTAAGGCCAACGAAAAATAAATTTGTCTTAGTAAAAGCATGAAATGAAAAACAGAGCGCATAAGAGAAATATTAAATAAATAATATACCATTCCGGCGTTATTGAACTTGTCCAAACTATCATTGTAATGTAATTAATGTTAAATAATAATAATAATAATAATAATAATTTCAGCATCATATTACCTTTGGCCTAAGCCTTGTAATGAAGAACCTACAGATACTGTACTAGTCTCTTATACACATCTAGATGTGTATAAGAGACAGCTTTTACTCTGTACGTAACAGCATAACAAAT